ATGTTTGGAGATGACACCGCAGTGATAGGTTGCATCACTGGTGGGGATGAAGCAGCCTACAGGAGGGAGGTGGCCGGTCTGGTGTCATGGTGCAAGAACAATAATCTCAGCCTCAATACGGACAAGATGAAGGAGATGATAGTGGACATGAGCAAGGAGAGGAGATCTCATCAGCCACTGTTCATCCGGGGGCTTGAATTGGAGAGGGTGAGCAGCTTCAAATACCAGGGCGTTCACATCAGTGAGGACTTCACCTGGACACATAACATCACACAGCTGGTCAAGAAGGCCCAACAATGGCTGTACTTCCTGAGGAGGCTGAGGAGGTTTTGCATGTTGCCTAGGATCCTTTGCAACTTCTACAGTTGCATCATTGAGAGCATCTTGACCAGCTGCATCACTGTCTGGTCCAGCAAAAATCCCTTCACTCTCCCTCACAGGGATGGACAATGAACAAAGAAAATGTCAATGAGTGTCACTGTGGAGTCACAAAATTCACAGTCAAAGGTTTTTATCTTTTTTTGACAGTAAAGTAACCAGTCAGTTTTATAGTTGGGTATGAAGATATGAAGATTTACAGTTATTATTATTATTATTCAAATGTTATTATGCGTTCTACACTCTGTTCAGACTCAGAGACAATAAAACAGCTGGTTGATGCTTAAAAACCTGTGTAGGCCACACAGAAATTAATCAGGAATCATTAAGGGAATTGATAAAAAAAATTGGGCCAATAAGCAGAATCAATAATGGCATCGGTATCAATAAACTCATCAATTCCCATCCTTACCTTGGGAATCACAGATGAGATAAGAAAATCTTCTCCATCCTGGCTCAAGCGATGATTTTCGTCTTTAGGTCCCAGGTTGTCTTAGTGATGACTTGCAAAGTGAGAAGTCAAGTCCAGGCCAAGGTAGAAACACAAGGGTGCTCCACAGTAGGTACGTTATCCTAACAGGTAACATGAGGGAAACATGGGGAACACAAGGAACTGTGTTGCTGGAACACTTATGCAATGAGGAGAACCCAAGATGATATGAACACAAGAATGCCAGATGGTATCAGCATTGAGGAGCTGATTAGGAAAGTGGACAAAGATGTGGTGAGTGTGGAAGTCAAGACAGGACAATGAGAAAATGAGAAGCAGGGGTGCAGGGCAGAGCCAGAAAAAAAATCTGGGAGCAGCCAGAGACTGGATGAGGAATGACAATTCATAGAGCAGTGTAGAAAACACAGGGCAGAGACAAGTCTGCAACAAGTAGCTTGCAGATACAAATGAAGGTACCTCAAAACTGTGGTTAGGTACGCCTACAGTACTTGAATAAATGTACTTTCACTGTCATTGTACTGTCACCTTCCTCTTATCTGGCAAAAAACTTGCTGTTAAACACAACCAGGAGACCTTTTTGCTCCAGTCACAACTCTTTCTCAGGACCTGTGGGGGTGTAGAGACTGTATTTAAATGACATCTCTCTTACTTTGTTCTTAATTTTGTTGCATCTGTTTGGGTGGAAGAAGTAAGCATGTAGGCATAAAGAAAGTCACGGTGCTGCCAGGATGTGCTGGCACCTCAACTGTCAATCTGGGTCATTTGTTGCTGCCATTTCAGCCCACAATCATTTGGATCAGTGCAAAAACTGGATCCAGTTAGAGTGTGAAATGATAAGCTAATAATGCTAATACTGAAAGAATGACTGGTCACACTTCATAAAACAGCTCGTGATTTACAGTGTCATTTTGTTGCACGAACCAGATACACTTAACATGCTTACTGGTTCCTGCTGGTACTTACTGTAAATATGGGTACAGTAAAAGAAAAACCTGGGAAACAAGACTTTAACAACTGGAGAATAATTAAAAATGTGAAATGATATTATACCTACAGGGTACAGTCCTGGGAAACAAAACGCATGTTGGCATTGCTTCATTAGATGTCTTTGCCTGCTAACATGATACATTATCTTGCCTGAAGTTTCCTCAGGCCATTTAAATGGTGCTGCAGGGTCACAGCCTGCCTTGGTATCTTGCTGATCTCCTGGTATCATACTCATCTCCAGATGATGACGACACTGAATGTAAGCCCTGTGCTGGGGTGGGGTTTTGAACCCCTCCTCTGTAACATCTTCCATGAGCAGGTAAAAACACCAACACTATCCTGGCACTATAGAGAACAGAAACAGCAGGACTCCAGCCACAGGGCTCCCTCTCCTTTCGTGTTCCCAGCTCTTGCCTTCTCTGACAATGAGCACTGCTTACAAAGTCATCATTTGACTTTTTCTCTTCTGGCTTTTTCTCTCCTGAATTAATTTAATAGTTGTGGGCCCATTCCTCAACCTCTCATCTTTATTTTAGTAAAAAATGTCACAGTTTTTATGCAAACAGGACTGGTTTGCAAAAGCAAAGAAGTCCGATAAGACTGACCACTTACGGAGACTTTGGCAAATGACTTTGAGCAATATGCTGAGATAAAATGTGACACTTTGAATGAAAATCTGCTGCACCAGTGATATTTTGGAGCCACCACGTGGCCACTAATGGTAATGTATCTGAAGGTACTTACCTTGCCTTCACCATTCAGTCATGCTGGTGATGCATTGTTTAAAACTCAACTCTGTATTGTGGACTATGTACAGTGCATGTCCTCATAAGAACAGCTGACTGCAAAGAGCTGGCCTCCTACCCACACGCAATGTTCTTCATCTCAACCATTTACTGACCTTTGTTTTGACACATTGTAAAATTTCCCAGTCACATTGCCTAGCAGGGAGAAGTGTGTGATTGAGTCACAACTCCCTGCTTTGTATTTCTGCCACAGCTTCTCTCTCTGCAGCTGATAATCAACTGATGAGCTGGATTTAGAACATATTAAGGAGAAGTGAGAGAAGGCTGCCTGCAGCTGAGGGATGCATGGACATTGTGACAGCCAGAGACAGAAGGAGAGCAGTGACAGGGGAGGATGGAGAATTTCTATGGGAAGTAGATGAGAAATAACCAGATCTAGAAGCAGGAGGTGATGCTGCCACAGATGGAATCAAGATGCATATAAAGAAACAATCAGACTTAAAAATATAATTTCATGCCTTCCTCTGCAATAGTTTGTTTGCAAAATCTTACGTCTTCTTTATGATAGATAATTGTATTCTGATCAATCAACTCACAATGCAATTGGTGTTAATGGTACAGCTCAAGACAGGTCTGTTTAAATCCATTTGGGCAATTTGTCATCCTTCATACTGTAGGTGGTAGCTACTTTGGGATTCCCTTAAATGAGTCCTAGGCCCTAAGTGTACATGTCAATACTGGACAATTACATTCCTCAGTGAAATTATTCCTGATTTATATTTCTGTCCATTGCAACTAGGGGATACTTAACCTTCACCATAGTTGCTACTTGCTTTACCCTCATGCTAACCGTAACCTAACCCTAACCTCATCCTAAACTTAGGACATTTGCTGTAGCTCTAACTTTTCATTGTGTTATTTCCATAAAACCTGTGGCCTCCAGTCCCCATAAGTGATGCCAGTCCCTGCAAAGCTAGTGTGCTCCCAGTTTTACATCCAGTAATTAGTAGTATAAGCAGTAGTTACCCCCCCCACACATATGATATACTATACATATGTAATTAATACATATACAGTACGTATATAAATATGTTATTATTGTGTTTTGTTCAAATATTTGAACATTTATAAATTATTAAGTTATTGTTGAAACCTTCATGCCAAACAAGCCCCACTGAAATGGACAGAACTGAGCTGCGAAGCATTTTCCACCCCCAGTATTTTATAATCTTATATCTGGGTGTTTTTTCTGTCCACCCGAAGGACAAAACGCCCAGCCATAAACAGAGTGATGTAGTGTATGCAATTAAGTGTAGTCAGGAGTGTAACAACTTGTACATTGGTGAAACTAAGCAGCCACTTCAGAAACGCATGGCCCAACACAGGAGGGCCAACTCCAGTGGACCAGAGTCAGCAGTCCACCTCCACCTGAAGGACAAAGGACATTCTTTTGAGGACAGTGAAGTCCAGATCCTCTCCAGAGAACATCGCTGGTTTGAGAGAGGAGTTAAGGAAGCTATTTTTGTAA